GGAAAAGAGGAAATAAACTATGCCTGTTTGTAGACATGATTGAAAATCCCATAGCGTCTACCCAAAAGCTCCTTGATCTGATAAACAACTTAAGCAATGTTTCAGCATACAATATCAATGTACAAAAATCATTAGCATTTTTATACAGCAACAACATCCTAACTGGCAAGCCAAGTCAAGAATGTAATTCCATTAACAATTGCCAAAAAAAGAATAAGACACTTTTTAAAATTGCATTTTAGGTTTGGAGTACATGTGAAGAACATGTAAGAATGCTGCATAGGTACACACATGGCAGTGTGGTTTGCTGCCTTCCTCCCCATCACCTATATCTGCCATTTCTCCCCGTGTTATCCCTCCCCAACTCCCCACCCCCCACTGTCCCTCCCGTTTCCCCCCTCCACAGACCCCAGAGTGTGTGATGCTCCCCTCCCTGTGTCCATGTGTTCTCACTGTTCAACTCCCACCTATGAGTGAGAACCTGCAGTGTTTGATTTTCTGTCCTTGCGTCAGTTTGCTGAGAACAATGGTTTCCAGGTTCATCTATGTCTCTACAAAGGACATGAACTCATCATTTCTTATGGCTGCATAGTATTCCATGGTGTATATGTGCCACATTTTCCCTGTACAGTCTATCAGACATTTATGACTAAAACCAACCAGGGAGGTTAGTCTCTGTAATAAGAATTAGTAATACAAAATACTGTTCAAGGAAATCAGATGACACAAATAAATGGAAAAACATTCCAGGCTCATGGGTTAGAAGAATCAGTATCATTAAAATAGCATACTGTCAAAACAATTTACAGATTCAAGGCTATCAAACTACCAATGACATTCTTCACAAAATTAGAGAAAGCTAAATTAAATTTCATATGGAACACAATAAGAGTCCAAATAGTCAAGGCAACCCTAAGCAAAAAGAACAAAGCTGAAGCTTACAGTAACCAAAACAGCATGGTACTGTCATAAAAACAGACATACAGAGCAATGGAACAGAATAGAGAGCCCAGAAATAATGCCGCATACCTGCAACCATCTGATCTTTGACAAAGCTGACAAAAGCAAGCAATGGGGAAAGGACTCCCTATTCAACAAATGGTGCTAGGATAAATGGCTAGTCATATGCAGAAGATTGAAAATGGATGACTTCATTATGCCACATAAAAAATCAACTCAAAATGGATTAAAGACTCAAATGTAAAACTTAAAACCATAAAAACCCTCAGAAGATAACCTAGGAAATACCATTCTGGACATGGGTGCTGGCGGAGATTTCATGATGAAGATACCAAAAGTTTTTTTTTTTTCAACAAAAACAAAAATTGAAAATGGGACCTAATTAAACTAAAGAACTTCTGCACAGCAAAAGAAATTTTCAACAGAGTAAACAGGCAACCTACAGAATGGGAGAAAATATTTGCAAACTATGCATCTGACAAAGTCTAATATCCAGAATCTACAAGGAACTTAAATTTATAAGTAAAAAGTAAACAGCCCCATTAAAAAGTGTGCAAAGGACATGAACACTTTTCAAAAGAAGACATATGATATGGTCAAAAAGCATATAAAAATACACCCAACAGTACTAATCATTAGAGCAATGCAAATCAAAACCACAATGAGATACCATCTCACATCAGTCAAAATGGCTACTATTAAAAATAAAAAAGTAACAGATTCTGGTGAGTTTACAGAAAATAGTGAATCCATATATACTGCCAATGGTACTGTAAACTAGTTTATTTAAAGCAGTGTGACAATTCCTCAAAGAACCTGAAACAGAACTACCATTTGACCCATTAATCCCATTACTGGGTATATACCCAAAAGAATATAAATTGCTCTACCATAAAGACACATGCATGCACTTTTCACATGGCAAAGACATGGAAATCAACCTGAATGCCCATCAACAGTAAACTGGATAAAGAAAATGTGGTATACATACACCATGAAATGCTACACAGTGAATGCCAGGCTTAATTCCTAAGTGAAGGGTTGATAGGTGGAGCAAACCACCATGGCACACATTTACCTATGTAGCAAACCTGCACATCTTGCACATGTACACCAGAACATAAAAAAAAATCCTGCCTCTAATATAATAGTTAATAGTGGAAGACCAAATGCTTTCCCCCAAAATGAGGAAAACGTCAAGGATATCTTCCTTCACCACTCCCCATTCAACATTAACTAGGAGTCCTAATCATTAAGATAAGGTTAAAAAAAATAAATGGCATATAGATTGAAAAAGAAGAAAAACGCTGAAGAAGGAAATCAAAGAATGTTTAAATAAACCAAGAGATATAATTGTAATCAATTGAAAGATTGAATATTTTTAAGATGTTCTCTCACAAATTTGATTTATATATTTAAAGTAATCTCAATCGGAAAAATGACAGCAAGATTTTTTGTAGATATAGACAAGCTGATTTTAAAGTTCACAAGAAGAGACAAAGGAATTAGATTAGCTAAAACAATTCTGAAAAAGAATAACAAAGTTGGAAGACTAACACAATCTGATCTCAAGGCTATAACGCTAGAGTAATCAAGCAGTGTGGTATTGACGTGAGGAAAGACAGGCAGATCAACGGCACAGAAAAGCAAAGCCAGAAACAGACTCCCACAAATAGAGTCATTTATATTTTACAAGTGGATAAAGGAAATTCAATGGAGAAGGATAGTTTTTTAAACAAATGTTAAAACAACTGGACATCCATATGCAGAAAGAAAAATCTCAACATACAGCTCACAAGTTGCACAAACCTTAACTCCAATGGATCATAAACCTAAGTGTAAACAATAAAGCTATAAAATTCCTAGAATAAAATCTGTATGACCTTGAGATTGGTGATGAGTTTTTAGATACAATACCAAAAATATAATCCATAAACAAAACAAAAAATGATGAACTGGACTTAAAAACTCTTCCTCTGCAAAACACATTAAGATAGTGAATGACAAGATGATTAACAAACTTGCAGAAACTGTTTGTGAATCATGTATCTCATAAATGACTTATATCTAGAACATATAAAGAACTCTGAAAATTCAACAAAAAGGTTCACCAAAAACAAACTTATGAGAAGTTACTCAACTTCACTAGTCATTAGAGAAAGGCAAATTAAAATGACGAGATACCACTGTGTACCTAGAACAGCTATAATTAAAAAAACTGACATTAACAAATGGTGGTTAGAATTTAGAGCAGCAAAATTATCTTTCATGGCTAAGAGGAATGAAAAATTATACAGCCACTTTGGGAGACAGTTTAGTATAGTTTACTATGAAGTTAAACACTGACTTACCATACAACTCAGCAATAGAACTTCTAGGCATTTATCCAAGTGAATTGAAAACATATGCTCCTACAAGAATCTGTATGTGAATGTGATGGTACTAAGGTGACTGACGGATGACTCTGCGTGATTGTTGAAAACCAACATTGTACATCACAGATGATACTTTTCAAAAAGACATCTGACTAGATTGTGAAATAAAAATATGTTCACAGAAGGCAAAGTTCAATATATATGAATAAAAAGTCTCTTCAAAATTAATCAGAAAAGTCCAGTTCATTCCCATACAAAATCCCAACAACATGTTTCATGGAACCTGGCCAACTGCTTCTAAAATTAATATGGCTACATACATGCAAGAACAGCCAAGGTATTTAGAAAAACAGAAACTAAGAGGCAGAGCTACACTAGTAGATATCAAAATATATTTTAAAGCTACAGCAATTTAAATGATGTTATATTTGTGTAGAATAGACATATATATATATATATATATATATCACTGCAACAGAATGGAAAGTCTAAAAACATATACATGTCTGTATGAGAAATTGGCATATGATGGAGTAGAATACAGAAGACTTGACTGTTCAATGAAGTATGTGAGATCAATGATTTACCATATGGAAAAAACAGAATTAGATCTCTACCCCATAGTATATTCAGATAAATTCCAGATGGATTAAAAACCAAAACATTAAAAATACAACTTTGGTCTTACAAGAAAATGTGTTTATGACATCATAAAGAAAATCATTAAGGTAAAGTTGAATAAATCTGACTATATCACAATATTTGTAAAAAGATGTCATAAACAATTTTTTAAAAATATCAGAAGTTCAGAAATGCACTAGAAGATGTTGCAAAATATAGAAGAAAAGATTAGTATTCAAAATATATTAAAAACACCTATAAACCAATGAGAAAAAAGAATCCAATATAAAAATAGGCAAAGGCTATGGACAGGAAATTTACGAACACAATGTAATATTTTAATTATATTAAATATTAATACATAAATCTTAATAATTTGGGAAATGCAAATTAGAACACTCCATGTTGGGAAGACAGCAGTAACAAAGCAAAGTCCTTCCTTTAATGGCCATTGTATTCATATGTGCATGTGTGCGTGCATGTGTGTGTGTGTGTGTGTGCTCAAAGTGTTGAACAGATAAACTTGAGATATAGTAATAAGTGCTATGAAATCATTTAAACAGAAAAATGTGATAGTGTGATAGCAACGGGAGGCTAGAGGAATGGGGAAGGAACAATACAGCGCATTTGAACAGAAATCTGAATGAAAAAGTAGTCAGCTCTCAAAAGACAAAGTTAAGACTATTCCAACACCATACTTAGCACTTTGACCTCAACATGTATATATTATCAACATGTTGAGTAAATCAGATTTCTTCACTGAGAATTCTTACCAAATATTATACACATTATTGAAGTATGTTTTTACGTTTTTAGCCAAGTTTTAAATCTGTGCCAGAAAAAGGCAAATAATTATAGACATAATACTCCCAGAACAGACAGAATCCCAATATATTTTTCCACATTAAATTCACATTTGTTAAGTTAAAAAAAAAGTCAGACAACTATTCTGGTGAAAATTACTATTTAAATCTAGTAAGAAAATTATTACAGTAATTGTTTTTTCTGCAGCCAAAAGTAACCTTGGAAAAAACAAGCACATACCTGAATATAATGGCGAAGAACATAGAGAATTTCCCCATTTTGAGCTTTTTCAGACAATACTTTGTGAAATGCACTAAATGCTCTAGTACCCATTTCGGCATAGAGAATCACCACCGGTAAGTTCTCTTTGTTTGTAGGAAATTTATGATCTCCTTTAAACAGATAAGGTCTAGTACTAAGATGAAAAAAACACAAAGTTTTGAATGAATTGAAAGTCAATGGCATCTCAATTCTACATAATTGCTGCTTATCAAACAATTCACAGTATACATAATCATTAAAAAGTGAATTTAAATTTCCTCTGATGACTTTGTACATAACACTTGAACTATATGACAGAAAAGAAAAGAAAAGAATTTGGTTAATCCAAATCTAATATTAAAAATACTTTATTTCCCAACAAAGTTTATCTTTAAACAATAACATATAATGGCAACATAATTTTCAGTGAAATGACATTTATATTTTATTCAATTAGAAGGATATAATTTTTCATTACAGCTCATATTTCCTAAAAACAAGGTACAAATATTTAAGGAACAAAACAAAGGCACTACCTTATTCAAAGATTATCAGCACTTAGTATGAACAAGTACTCATTAAATCCTCAAGTATAAGCAAAGCAACCAGGACTCTTATCAGAAACAGACTTTAACTGACTTCTTATTTGCCAAGCACTGTGCTAGGTTCTTTACATTTATTAAATTCTATGTCACAAGAAAAATTGGATAACTACGATCACTGAAACTTTTAAGTTTCTGAGACTCAGATAAGTTAACTACTTAGGAAAAGATCAAATGGAAAGCTAGAATTTCAACTCATGTTTATGGAATTCCAAAGCCCATATGTTTTCACGATTTATACAGGTAGAAAGCAAACCAAGAGATAGCGAAGTTCAGAGAAACAAAGATATTGAGAAACAACCTTTTATTTTAAGAATTCTGATCTCTATGATCATTTAGTCAATTACTACCTTTGTATAACAAATATTAAGGACAGAAGAAAAAAGGGTGTAACATTGCTACAGCATGATAGTAAAAATACTGTGGGTTTTGAAATCAGGCAGAACTGAATTCAATTGTGCTTAACTACTTACTGACTCAACATAAGCTAAATCAAAATGATTCAAGCACTCAATCTTATTGACTAACAGAATAATTTGAGAGATTTCCACTCGTTATTTGGCTTAGTTTGTGACATTACTCAACATTGATAAAGAAATGTGTTTATTAAAAGTCCATAAAATTATATCATTCAAGCATCTTTACATTAGTTTACAGTTTGACTTGTACAGTATATATAACCTTCCACTTTTAAATATACTTTCATTCAAGTATAAAAATCCTCAAACATTTATTCACTTTAATTTGATTAGTAGTAATCAAAATGTGATTTTTAAAATACTACTGTCAATGTTTGGACAGCTGAAGCATAAAATAGAATCTTAGTCCCAAATAGAATTTCACTTCATTAATTTCCTGTGACAGATGAAGAGATATGAATCTGCAAAACAAGATACACTGAATTTTATTTCTTCATAAGATGCTATTAATAAATGCTAAAAGAATACAAAATCATACTTCACGTTTGAAAAGTGAAAAAGATTCTTAAATTGAATGAAACTATTAAAATTATTCTCATAAATTTTAACTGAAAACTTGGAACTCAAATGTCACTTATATAGGAGCTGGGTTATCACTTTATAAAACTGATTTTATCAAATCCATATCACAGAAATACATTTAGTAATTTATATAGGGTATCTTACATTTTAATGTAAGTCTGAGAAATTCTTCCTTCAAAAAATTAACTTCTGTTTAAAACTGGAAAGACTTCCAATAAAACTATGCTAATAGATAAATCTTGAGGTTGAATATAAAAGGAAAAATTAGAGGAAATGGAATAGACTTTACAGACACAAAGGTAAGGACTCTCTACCATTTATTCTGAGACTGTGATAGACAGCACCTTCCTTCCTTTACTTGTAGACAAATAACTTTGCTTTTATGATTAATTCAGGAACTGCTTGGATATATTATAGGTAGAAAACTTATACCTATAGAGGATGGCTGAATAAGAGAGAAACAATCTTTAAAAATTAAATAATTATATTTAAAAGTAGCACTTTTCATTTACTGAATTAAGGGGCTAAAGATAATTAATACAAATTAACATTGGTAAAAATTTTAGAAGTAGAGTGTAAAACTTCAGCTTTGTGAAGACAATTTTAGAGTATACATTTTAAATGTATACATATACTTACCTAGAGATTTTAATTCTAGAAATTTAAGAAAATAACTGTACAAAGGTATATGTATAAGGAAGTTCAATTAGATATTGATTATAACAGAAGAAAGTTATAAACTACCTAAATATCCACCACAAGGAGTGGGATAATCAAACATACTTATTCATTTCATTATGGTATCATTCACTCAATATTTTTCAGCATTACTATGTGGCAGGTGAACTTGTTGGACACTGGAGTAAAGGTCACCCTTGTTATGCCTTAGCAAATAACTTGGCTGCACTGTGTTTATGCCCTAGGGATCTGTGAAAATTTGAACTTAAGAAGAGTGATGATTTAAAATATTTAGTGAAAGAAATTTCTAAGCAGCCAAGTGTTCAGGATGTGGCCTGGCTGCTTCTAACAATGTATGCTCAGATGTGGGAGCAAAGAAATGGCTTTAAGTTGGAATTTATATTTAAGAGATAAGAATGTAAAAGTTTGAAAAATTTGCAGCCCCAGCCAGAAAAGAAGCATCCCATTTTCAGGGGAAGAACCTAAGGAGGCTGTTGGGCAACCACTTGCTAGAGAGATCTGCATGACTAAAAGGGACCCAGGAGCTGACAGCCAAGACAATTAAGAAAAGGCCTTGAAGGTATTTCAGAGATCTCAGAGATCCCCTCATCATGCACTCTGAGGACTAAAAGGAAAGAATGCTTAGTGCCCTGTGCCATGCCAGGAGGCTGCTACTTGCATCCCAGCCACTCCAATTCCAGCCTCAACTCAAAGGGGTGCAGGTACAGCTCAGGCCACAGCTCCAGAGGGCACAAGCCATAAACCCTGACACTTTATACATGGTCTGATGTCTGCAGATGCTCAGAAGGCAAGCATGAAGGAGGTCTGGAGGCCTCCACCTAGATTTCAGAGGATGTATGGAAAAGCCTGGTGCCCAGGCAGAAGCCTGCCACACAGGAAGGGCCCCCATAGGATATTCTACTAGGGCAGGGCACAGAGGAAATGCAGGCTTGGACCCCCCACATAGAGTCCCCACCTGGATATTGCCTAGTAGAACTAGTATAGGGAGGCTGCAACCCTCATGATTCAAGGATGGTTGATTCACCAGCAGCTTGCACCTTCTGCATGGAAAAACCGCAAGTACTCAACCCCAACCCATGACGGCAACCACGTGTATCCTGCAAAGTTAGAGGGCTATTGCTGCCCAAGGCCTAGGGGCCCACCAGGATATGGGACATGGAGTCAAGGATTACATTACAGCTTTAAGAATTAGTGCCTTCCCTACTATGTTTCAGACTCACATGGGGCCTGTTACCCTTTTCTTTTGGCCAATTTCTCCCTTTGGTAACAGGAATGTTTACCCAATGCCTGTACCATCACTGTATCTTGGAAGTTAATAACTTGTTTTGATTTTACAGACTCATAGCAAATGAGTCTCAGATGACACTTAGGACATTGGACTTGATGTTAGAATGAGTTAAGATATGGAGAAGAAATTATTGTCATTTTCCATGTGAGAAGGACATGAGATTTGGGGGCCAGGAGTAGAATGATATGGTTTAGGTATTTGTCCCCTCCAAATCTCATGTTGAAATTAAATCCCCAGGGAGACCCCCTCATTCTCTTGACCCTGCTCTCAGTATGTAATGTGTCTGTTCCAGCTTCACGTTCCATCGTGGCTGTAAGGTTCCTGAGGCTCTCACCAGAAGCCAAGGAGATGGTGCCATGCTTGTACAGCTTGCAGAACCATGACCAACTAAACCTCCTTTATTTATAAATTATTCAGCCTCAGGTATTTCTTTACAGTAATGCAAAAACAGGCTAACACATAAAATTGGCACATACCAGTAATTTTATTTACATGTAAGAATACATAATTTAATGTGAGATGGATCTAAGATATCCTTAGAATACATCTGAAATACAACCCTTGTAGATTTTTTAAAAAAGAATATATCTGTATATGAACATGTGGATTAAAAAAGAATACACACTAAACTGTTAGCAGAATTATGGACCATTTTCCCTTTCTACTTTGCATTTTTCTAAAGTATATGAATTCTTTTATAATGATCATATAGGATTTTTAAAAAAACTTTAAACATATAGCTTTCCATTTGGGACAAAAGTTTAAAGCCACAAAAAAGAGGGTCATATTGATTTGAAGTGCATTTGGAGAGCAGCCCCTGACCCTAAATTTTACAGTATCTCCAAAAATATTTACAAAGACACAGAAAAAGACAAAAATTCTTAATGAAGTTGCAAACTAATAATAACTTTATATCATAAATTGGGATTGAAGTCTACTAACTATAAAACCTATGCTGTTCTACTTAGAATCATAACTGACAGTCAACTTTACCACTTAAGACAAGAACATACTAGTAAAAAAAAGAAGAGTAAATTGATTATTCATATCTTCCTACTTTCTATTCCATAGTTCAAAAATCCATGGTCTGGATCTGCCCCAAAACTTTATGGACACAATATTAAAATGTGAGTGAAGGCCAAGCATGGTAGCTCCTGTCTATAATCTCAGTACTCTGGGAGGCTGAGACAGGCAGAATGCTTGAGCTCAGGAGTTTGAGAACAGCCTGAGCAAAACAGCAAGACTCCATCTCTACAAAAAATAGAAAACTTAGCTGAGCATGGTGGTTTGCACCCGTAGTCCTGTCTACTTGGAAGGCTGAGGCAGAAGTATCACTTGAGTCCAGGAAGTGGAAGTTGCAGTGAGCCAAGACTGCATCACTGCACTCCAGCCTGGGCACTAGAGAGAGACCCTGTCTCAAAAAAAGTACAACAAAATAAAATTTGAGTTATATATCTGGGGGAAAGTGACAGCAGTCGTTACCATCCTAAATGAGCACAACTTTCTCCCAGCACTCCCTTTCCAACAACAACAACAACAACAAAAAACTACTATTAAGAAGAAT